GAAGAAATAAGGAACACCATTAAACTAAACTACAAAGGTAAACAAGCTTCGTTTTTTTCCTCTGATTTAAAAGATATAAGGATTAAATAATAACTACAAATCTGTTAATGGGCACACATATGAGATTCCCAGAGCTGCTACAACAAATTCCCACAAATTGGTAGTTTTGTAATGAGAAATGTATTCTCTCACAGTTCTGGAAGCTGGAAGTCCAAAAGCAAGGCATCACCAAGGCCATGCTCCCATCTGGGACTCTGGGTAGACTCTCTCCTTGCCTCTTTCTAGCTTCCAACAATGACCAGCAACAGTTGACATTCCTTGGTTTGCAGCTGCATTATTCCAATCTCTTATCACATGGTGTCTTCCCTGTTTGTCTCTCTCCTTGTGATAGAGTAAGAAATATGTGTTTTTGTCTTTGTCTCAGGAAGGACAAAGAATAATAAAAATCAGAATTAACAAAACTGAAAGTTGCTTCTTTGGAAAAAAAATCAACAAAATTGAAACACCTTTACCTAGATTGACAAGTAAAAATTAGAGAAAGCTCAAAATATTCAAATCAGAAATTGAGACACTACTACCAACCTAACAGAAATAAAAAGGGTTGTTAAAAAATACTATGAACAATTAATTATATACCAAAAATTAGGTAACTTAGATGAAATGAATAAATTCCTAGAAACACACAAATTACCACAGATTCAAGAAAAAAAATACAAAATGTGAATAGTAAGCAAAGAGATAGAATTAGTAATCAAAAACCTCCCGACAAAGAAATGTACAGAACCAGATGACCTCACTGGTGAATTTTAACAAAGATAAAGAAGAAACAACAATAATCTTTCCCAAACTCCTCATCAAAAAAGAAGATAAATACATACTTCTTAACACTATTAAACTGGTATTAATTACCCTTATAGTAAAGCCAGATGAAGGCATCACAATAAAAGAAAATGATAGAACAATGCATCTTATGGATACAGATGTAAAATTCTCAACCAAATACTATGAATTTGAGGCAATTGACATACTAAAAGGATCATGAATCATGACAAAGTGGAATTTACATGGGGAATGCAAGAGCAGTTTAACATAAGAACATTAATATATCACACCAATAAAGAACATATACACATACAGTTCTCAACTGAAGCAGAAAAAAATAACTACATATAAAAACTTTTTCAGAATACAAATCACTCAATAAATTAGGAGTAAAAGCGAACTCCACCACATGAGAAAAGATATTTATGAAAAATAGCTAATATATTTATTAATAGTGAAAGACTCAATGCTTTCCAGTGAGATCAGGAACAAGACAAGAATACCCACTTAGACCACTCCAAGTCATCACTGTTAGAGAAATCCCAGCCAGAGCAATTAGGTATGAAAAAGAAATAAAGATGCATAAATTAGAAAGAGTGAAGTAAAACTTTCCCTATTTATAGAAGACATGATCTTTTAAATAGAAAATCCTAAAGAATCCACAAAAAACCCTATTAGAGCTAATAAGCGAATTCAGCAGAATTGTAAAACACTAGATGAATACACAAAAAGCAGTTGTTTTTCAATACACTAATAATGAACAATCCAAAAGTAAATTAAGAAAACAATTCTATTTACAATAGCATAAAAAAATAAAATACTTAGGAACAGATTTAATCAAGGTGGTCCAAGACTTGCACACTGAAAACCACAAAACTGCGCTGAAAGAAATTTTATTTTTATTTTTTAAAAAGATTTATTTAAGAAAATAAAAAAAATAAAAGATTTATTTATTTATTTATTCATGATAGACATAGAGAAAGAGAAAGAGAGGCAGAGACACAGGCAGAGCGAGAAGTAGGCTCCATGCTGGGAGCCTGACGCGGGGCTTGATCCCGGGACCCAGGATTGCGCCCTGGGCCAAAGGCAGGTGCCAAACTGCTGAGCCACCCAGGGATCCCCCTGAAAGAAATTTTAAAAGATTAAATAAATGGACACTCTTTTTTCTTGAAATGGAATATTTAATATAGATAACATGGTGATGCTCCTCCAGTGTTCTACAGATTCAATGAAAAATCCAGCAGCCTTTTTTTTTTTTTTTCCAGAAATGGACAGGATCTTCAAATTCATATGTAATTGCAGAGGACATCAAATAGCCAAAACAGGGGTACCTGCATGTTGCAGTTAGTTAAGCACCTGATTCTTGGTTTCAACTCAGGTAGTGATCTCAGAGTCATGAGATCGAGCCCCATGTCAGGCTCTGTACTCAGTGTGGAGTCTACTTGAGATTCTCTCTCCCTCTCACTGCCTCTCCTGCTTGTATGCACTGTCTCTCTCTAAAATAAATAAGTCTTTTAACAAAAATAGCCAAAACAATACTGGCAAATTTGTTCAGGAGAACAAATTAGAGAACTCACACTTCTTGACTTCAAACATGCTACAAAGCTACAGTATCAAAACGGGATAGAACTGGCATAATAATATACATATAGAGCAAATGAACAGAATTGACAGTCCAGAAATAAACCCACACATCTATGGTCAACTGATTCTCAACAAAGGTGCCAAGGTCATTCAATGGGAGAAAAAATAGTTTCAATAGATCAAAGACCTAAATGTAAGAGTTATTACATTTAAGAGTATTAACACTCTTAGAAGAAAACAGGAGTGAATCTTCATGATCTTAGATTGACAGTGGATTCTTAGATATGACATCAAAAGCAAATGCAACAAAGTAAAAGAGATAAGCCAGACTTTACCAAATTAAAACCTTTTGTGAATCAAAGGACATACTTTCAAGAGAATGAAAAGATAACTCACAAAACGGGAAGAATATTTGAAAATATATCTGATAAAAGTCTAGTCTCCAAAATACCCTTAACAATAAATCGAATTTAAAAATGAGCCAAGGATTTGGATGGACATATCTGCAAAGCAGATACACAAATATCCAATAAGCATATGAAAAGATACTCATTAGTCATTAGGAAAAAAGCAAATCAAAACCACAATGAGGGATCCCTGGGTGACTCAGCGGTTTAGCGCCTGCCTTTGGCCCAGGGCGCGACGATCCTGGAGACCCAGGATCGAATCCCACATCAGGCTCCCGGTGCATGGAGCCTGCTTCTCCCTCTGCCTATGTCTCTGCCTCTCTCTCTCTCTCTCTCTCTGTGTGACTATCATAAATAAATAAAAAATTTAAAAAAATAAAATAAAATGTCTTTAAAAAAAACACACACACAATGAAATAGTACTTCATACCCACCAGGGTGGCTATAATAAAGACAATAAGCTTTGTCAATAATGAGGAAAAACGAACTCTTATACATTGTTGGTGGAAATATAAAATTGTGCAGGCATTGTGAAAAACAGTTTGGCTATTCCTCAAAAAATTAAAACTACAACTGGGGCATCTGGGTGGCTCAGTGACTGAGCATCTGCCTTTGGCTCAGGTCATGATCCCAGGGTCTTGGGATCGAGTCCTGCATTGGGCTCCCTGCAGGGAGCCTGCTTCTCCCTCTGCCTATGTCTCTCCCTCTCTCTCTGTGTCTCTCATGAATAAATAAAAAAAATCTTTAAAAAAGTTAAGACTACAACAAAAGTACAATCCAGCATTTCACTTCTCAGTAAATACCCAGAAGAACTAAGGACATATTCAAGAAAACTTGCACATGAATGTTCAAAGCAGCACAATTCACAATAGTGGAAAGGCAGAAACAAGCCAAATGTCTGTTAACTGATAAGTAAACAGAATATAGTCCATTTATACAATGGAATATTATTCAGCAATAAAAAGGAACAAAGTAAAAAAAAAAGGAACAAAGTCTTGGTAAAAAGGTACAAACATTCAGCTATAAAATGAAGAAGGTCTGAGGATCTAATATATAACATAGGGACTATAGTTGATATCACTGCATTGTACCACTAAAATTTTCTAAGAGAGAACTTAAAAGTTTCTCACCAAAAAAGCCAAAACAAAAAACATACAAAAAAGAAATATATGAGGTGATAGATGTGTTAGCAGATTAGATGGGAAGAATCCTCTGACAATGTATGCAAATATCAAAATCACGATGTTCACTAAGTATCTTACAGTTTTGTCAAATATACCTTAGTAAAGATGGAAAAGAAAAAGAATGACATCTGTAACATGCCCAATATGGACGCATTTTTAAAACATTATACTAAGTGAAGGAAGACACATAAAACAATATATATTGTATGACTGCATTTATATAAAAGACCCAGAAGACAAAAGTCCATACTGAGGGAAAGGAGATGAGTGGTTGCCAGGGACTGGGAATTCTGGAGTTATTTTAAGAACATGTAGTCAATTTATTCCAAAGAAGTTCTAGGTTATCAAAGGAAAACAAAACAAACTAAGACCAATGGAAAGCTGTCTACATGGGCTTCAGTCATACATCCTCCTAAAAAACCTCATTTAACTAGGTTCCTCTTGGTACTGTCTCTTGCTTCCATTAAAGGATAATTACAGGCATTTAGTTCATGGTTGCCAACAGAAGGTTGCTCATCATTTATATAAACAGAAACAAAATTTTTTTATTCAGCTTTCGACCAGAAAGTCTTTAGGTTCCAAAAGAAAGCAGGCTGCTCTATGCATGTCTTTTTTTTTTTTTTCAGAGGTGGGGGGAGGGTATCAAGGCTAAAAGGCCAGAAATATTTGCAAGTTAAGTTTGATAACCATCTAACTTCATATGATGTGTGTGTGCATCTATCTCCTGCCAACTTTGCCTTATTGATCTGCAAATCCAATGCTACTGGTCTATACACCTCATCACCTAAAATTCTGTTCAAAAATGAAAATCCTCAGGCCCCACTCTATGGTTGAAAAAACTTCCCAGTTTTGATCTGATGCACACTAAAGTTTGAGAACTACTGTGCTATGCTGTTTTCTTCAGGTTCATTATAGTTCTACTTTTCCATTTTAAATATAGGCATCATTAACCTTATAAAATCCATTATAAAACAAACCAGAAAATGACTTCAACAACTCACACAGGATTTCTTATTTTGCTGATCTCTCTTGGAAAAATGTAGAGGTCTCTGAAGGTGGAGCTGGGATAGAAAAAGAGGAATGAAGTCATTAGAGGTACAGATTGCCTTACAGTTCTTGGACTTGTCTTTTTTTTTGTTTTTAAGATTTTATTTATTTATGAGACACAGAGAGAGAGGGGCAGAAACACAAGCATAGGGAGAAGCAGACTCCACACAGGGAATCTGATGCGGGACTTGATCCTGGGACTCGATCCCAGGACTCCAGGTTCACGCCCTGAGCCAAAGGCAGGCGCTAAACCACTGACCCACCCAGGGATCCCCTTGGACTTGTCTTCGTAAAAATCTGCAAACATCACCAGAGTGAAATGCCTCTCTGTGGGAGAGTATCCTTTTCACCTTACAGATCGGGCAGGAAAGGACATAGGATAAAGCACCCACACATCCACATGTGACTGTGATTTGGCCATGCAGAGCTTGGGTGTGCAACTTTTCATTGGATGAATGGAAGTATTGTCTAGGACATTTTTAAAAAGATTTTATTTATTCATGAGAGACACAGAGAGAGACAGAGACAGGCAGAGGGAGAAGCAAGCTCCCTGCAGGGAGCCCAATGCAGAACTCCATCCCGGGACCGTGGGAACATGCTGAGCTGAAGGCAGATGCTCAACCGCTGAGCCACCCAGGGTGTCCCTTATCTAGGACACTTTTAAAACAATGTCTATACCCCTTTCTTTTGTTTCAAAGAAATTTTTAAAATGAGAAAATTGGTTAGACAAATTGCAGTATGTTAAATGAAGCAACACTAAACCTTCAGCAAAGGTTGTATAACAAAAGTTGTTACATGTACATTTCCTTGTTTACTCCTCCAGTTAGAGAACCCAACCAAAGCTATGAAAAAAAGGAGGGAGGTACTTTCAGGTAAGGGTACTTTTTTAATTGTTTTCCTAAAGGACGTGCAGATTCTCCAATGGCTGTCTTTTAAGGAATGCATGTTACCAGTGATGATGTACCATTGAATTGGAGAGGCTCAACATCTCTTCTGGGTTCTGCCCCTAACACATTGCCAGGGAAACTCACGTATACTCTCAGCATCTATTTCTCCTCAACTTTTAAGAAGAAACATAACTCTTCTTGTACTGCTGTCCTATAAAGAACTCATCAACACATCTTTAAATGCTAGATTCATTGTATGGGAAGAGCTCAGAATTGGGAAAGAGGGAAAAATAAAGACAGTGGGGACTGAGCTGGGATTGGTGAGACAAAACTGACTCACATCTAGTGTTAAGGCCCTTCCCCACATATCCCTGGAAGGCCTCCACTGAAGTTTTATTTCCTGTGTTGGCTAACTGCCCTTCACTCCTTTCACCCTGGTTGCCCTCCTGCAGGCCTCCAGGCCTCCCATCATTGGGCAGCCTGGGAAAGCCTCTGAATGTGGCAACACTCTCAAATCTCACTCATTTTGAACAGGCTGTGAAAATCTAGGGTCTCCTCGTCTCCAGGAACACAGAGGCAGCATAGTTTAAGAGGCATCTTGGGTGGCTGGGTGGGTTAAGCAACTGACTGGGTCTCAGCTGAAGTCTTGATCTCAGGGTCATGAGCTGAGTCCCACACTGACCCTATTTAAAAACAAACTCAAATAGTGGGAAGGTTCTCTCCACCTAACATTCTGTTCTTAGAGACTCCTCCTGACTTCACTTCCTTGTTCCAAGGTAGATGAGAAATGAGCCTGAAGGGCAAATCCATTTTAACTGCAATTGTCACACAGGCCCACAGTTCAAACGTATTTGTTATTATATAGAATCTGAGGTCAGACTATCAATAAACTCAAATCAAGGCTGCTGAAAACACTGTTACAGACCTAATTTGGAAACAGTTATGCTATCCCTATCAAAAGCTCTGAAGACACCTAGGAATCCCCGAAACTGAACTACTACAAGGTAAGATTCAATCATTCAAATTGTTTTTTCACATGTCAAATTATTTCTTTTAAGTGCTATGCAGGATGCAATGTTTGCTTTTTATAACCAAGAAACTAAATTGCAGAGACTACGGCATTCGAGAAACAACTAAAATTGTCTTCTAGCTTGCTAGCGATGCGACACAGGAGTCTCAGGGCTCTTCTTCGTTACACCCACGTGCGCGGTTGCGAGCATAAAGTGATGAGTGATAGGAGTAAGTCTACTAACAACAGCGGTTGGTATCTCCTGCTGGGCACCGAGCTGCAGTATCTAAGCCTCTGAACAGTCGCGTGAGGCAGATGCTACTACTATCTTCAGTTTCACAGACGGAAAGTCTCGGCGTCCGTCATCCACCGCAGAGCGTTTTCGGGCCCGGCACGAGCCCAGGCACCGGCTCAAGCCCGCCCCGCTCCACCAAGCGCTCCCACCGCGCAAGCGCAGCGCGCGCCCCTCCCACGGCCGCACCCCCCCCTCCCCGCGCCGCGGGGTCCGCGCGGAGTGTGCGTCCCTCCCGGGCGCCGAGCCCCCCCCCCCGCCCCCTAACGGAGACTCCCGTCGCGTGGTCCCTCCACGCAGCCTGCGCCGCCTCGTACCGTCTCTCGGGTCGAACAGCCGAGAGTCCCGCTGAGGTCCGCGGGTCGGTTCCCGCAGCCAGGCACTGCCGCCTGCGCCTGCTTCCCGGAGCCACGCAGGGGCACCCAGATCGCCGCCGCCCCCTGGCCTCGCCCGCCCTCCCACTCCGGCCGCACCAGCTCCCCGAGCGGCAGGCGGACCTGCAGGGTCCCGGAAACTCCGAACCGTCCCTCACTGTCGGCGGCAGGACCTGAGCGAGCCCGCGAGGTGATGCACCTGCGCAAAAGGAGCGGCGGAAGGCCAGTTCCCGGGACCTCGGGCGCGGGCTCTTAGCCGTCCGCACTGCGATTCCCATGAGCCCGCTCGCCCAGGGCTTTGGAAAGTAGCTGAAACGTCGCTTCTTCAGCAATTCAGAGATTGTGGCATGGGTTTGTTGCTTCTGTACGCAGCCCTGATTTTTTCAGTACCTCAAAGAAACGTCTCACAATCAGTGTGCCTTTTGAACCAAGCTAAATGTAAATCAGTGTGCATTTTGAATATAAGTAGGAAGGGTACTGTAAATATTAGAAATCGAATTAAATAGGAAATACTAGCCATAAAATGAAAATAACTGTTTCAAAGTAAACAATAGATAAAATAACATTTCAGCTGTGAAGAAGGTAGCAACTGGGACCTTCAAATATCAAATAAAAATAAATCCAGACTTCAGTAAAGAGAACCTTATTTCAAAAAGACCATTTCAATAAGAACAATGCTCTGACTTCAGGATCTAAAAGCATCTCAAGGGATCCCTGGGTGGCGCAGCGGTTTGGCGCCTGCCTTTGGCCCGGGGCAGGATCCTGGAGACCCGGGATCGAGTCCTACGTCGGGTTCCTGGTGCATGGAGCCTGCTTCTCCCTCTGCCTGTGTCTCTGCCTCTCTCTCTCTCTCTCTCTGTGTGACTATCATAAATGAATAATTTAAAAAAAAAATAAAAGCATCTCAAAATTCAATAGAAAAACGCTTCTCTGGGGCACCTCACTGGCTCAGTTGGGGGGAGTGTGTGACTCTTGATCTTAGATTGTGAGTTTGAGCCCCACTTGGGTGTAGAGATTACTTATGTAAGTAAACTTTAGAAAAAGGCATTTCTTTTAGAGGGAGGAGTAAGAAGTCTGATAGGAGAACATGATAAGACATTTACAAATAAGCAGGAACTTTTGAGAGGAAACTGGGCAAGTGAGGGGGGAAAATGAACTAAAAGCATGATGGCATAGTCTGATATGAAATGTTCCAGCTGTGGTCAGCCAGCCGCGGGTTGAGCTGTTCAGGGTGTTTGCTCAGACCTGGGGACGGAACAAATGCAGGGGCTTGTGAAGGGAAGTGAAGCCAGACCAAAGCTTAGTCAAGCTAAGTCAGTGTGGATTTGATTGATGTATAAAAAAATTCTAAAAGCTGTCCTTTAAGCATAAAGAAAGCACTAGACATTATGTAGTAACTTGAAGCCATATTTTTAATTTAAATTAACATATAATGTATTTATTTCAGAGGTAGAAGTCAGTGATTCATCAGTCTTATATAATATACCCAGTGCTGTTTAAGTCACAAGGGCATCACCCAGTTACCCATCTCCCCACCCCCTTCCCTCCAACAATCCTCAGTTTTTTTTCCTATGATTAAGAGTTTCTTATGGTTTGTCTCCCTCTCTCAGTTCATTGTTTTATTTTATCTTCTTTTCCCCTATGATCCTCTGTTTTGTTTCTTAAATTCCACACATGAATGAAATCATATAATTGTCTTTGATTGACTTACTTCACTTGGCATAATACCTTCTAGTTCCAGCATGTCTTTGCAAATGGGAAGATTTCATTTTTTTTTTTTTGGATGGCTTAGTAGTATTCCATTGTATATATAGACCACATTTTCTTTATCCATTCATCTGTCGACAGGTATTTGGGCTCTTTCCATAGTTTGGCTATTGTGGACATTGCTGCTATAAACATTGGGTTGCAGGTGCCCTTCAGAATATTGCATTTATGTCTCTCGGGTAGTTCTATCTTTTACTTTTTGAGGAGCCTCCATACTGTTTTCCAGAGTAGCTACACCAGCCTGCATTCCCACCAACACCACATCCTTGCCAACATCTGCTGTTTCCTGAATTGTTAATTTTAGCCATTCTCTTGAGATTTTGATTTGTATTTCCCTGATGCTAGGTGATGTTGAGCATTTTTTCATGTATCTGTTGGCCATTTGCATGTCTCCTTTGGAGAAATGCCTGTTCATGCCTACTGCCCATTTCTCGATTGGATTATTTGTTCTTTGGGTGTTGAGTTTGATGAGCTCTTTATAGATGATGAATACTAGCCCTTTATCTGATAAGACATTTGCAAATATCTTCTGCCATTCTGTTGGTTGTCTTGATTTTGTCGAATGGTTCCTTTGCTGTGCAAAAGCTTTTTATCTTGATGAAGTCCCAAGAGTTCATTTTTGCCTTTGTTTCCCTTATGTTTGGAAATGTGTCTAGCAAGAAGTTGCTGCAGCTGAGGTCACAGAGGTTGCTGCCTATGTTCTCCTCTAGGGTGGATTCCTGTCTCACATTTAGGTCTTTCATCCGCTTTGAGTCTATTTTTGTATATGGTGTGAGGAAATGGTTGTTTCATTCTTCTGCATGTGGCTGTCCAATTTTCCCAAATTGTTGAAGAGACTGTCTTTTTTCTGTTGGACAGTCTTTCCTGCTTTGTCAAAAATTAGTTGACCATAGAGTTGAGGGTCCAATTCTGGGTTTTTCTATTAAGTTCCATTGATCTATGTGTCTGTTTTTGTGCCAGTACCATACTGTCTTGATGATTACAGCTGTGTAATACAGCTTGAAGTCTGGGATTATGATGCCACTAGTTTTGGTTTCTTTTATCTTGAAGTCACATTAAGAAATAAAGAATACCAGTAAAGATAGCTACATAAGTAAATATAAAAGCCAGTATCACTTTATTTTTTATTAGTAACTCCTCCACCTTTTCCTAATATAAGGTAAAAGATAAATGCACCAACGATAAATATAAAACAATGTTAATACCAAGAAACACATAAATTAGCAGAACTCAAGAAGAAATAGAATATCTCAACAGATACATAACAAATAGAGATTCAATCAGTAATGAAAAACCCCTCAACAACAAAGAGCCTAGGATCAGATGGCTTTACTGGTGAATTCAACCAAATATTTAAAAGAGTAATTAACATCAATACTTTCCAAACTCTCACATAAGATAATGGAGGAGAGAACACTTCACTCATTCTATGATGCCAACATTCTCCTTATTAAAAACCAAATGACAAAGCCCTCACCAAGAAAAACTATAGATGAAAATTATTAGTATAGTTATAAAAACCCTCAACAAAGTACTAACAATCACACACACACACACACACACACACACACACACACGCATACACATACACATACTCTACTGGCCCTGATAGATGAATTGGGTTAGTTTTAAGATACAAGATCAATACTGAAAAATCACTTGTGTTTCTATATAGCAGCAATGGATAATCTGAAAAGGAAATTAAGAAATTCCATTTCCAATAGTATGTATGCTAAAGAATAAAATATCTAGGAATAATCTTAAGGAAAAGAAATTGTACACTGAAATCTGTACAACATTACTGAAAGAACTGAAGTAGACTGAAATAAATGGAAAGACATTCATTTTCATGCTATGGAAGACATAATGTTAAGATGGCAATATTACTCAAAGCAATCTACAGATTGAATGTAATATCTATCAAAATTCTACAGCTGTTTTGCAGAAATGAAAAAACTAATCCTCAAATTCCTAAAGAGTATGAAGCATCTCAGCCAAAGCAATGTTTAAAATGAACAAAGTTGAATGATGCACACCTCATGATTTCTAAACTTACCACACAGCTACATAAAAGAAATAGTAGGAGATATCCAGGTTTGATGTGGATCTGTGCAACTGTTTATGCCCACCAAATTTTTGTATAAGCAATAACAAACTTTCTAGAAGCTTCTTTATATCATACTTCAAAATGAACATGCTCCTTATCTAGTAATCCTACGTTTGGTACAATGCTAATAAAATAATTGTCAAGATGAAGATAAAAATAGATATAAATCATCAATGTGATTAAACAAACAGGGAATTTCATTACAGAATATTGCAGCAATACTGTGAACAACTTTCTATTTACAAATTCAACAGCGTAGAAGAAATGGATTTCTTGAAAATCACAAACTTCCAAAACTCAACCAAAGTGAAATTGGCAATCGGAATAGTCCTACTACCATTTAAAAACTGGATATGTACTTAAAAATCTCCTAAAAAAGAAAATTCAGGACCCAGATTATTTCACTGGAGAATTGCCCCATTTAAAGAAGAATTCATTCCATTTTACACAATGTTTCTATTCAGAAAATAGAAGAGAAGGAAACACTCCCCATCTAATTTTATGAGATGTATGTTATCCTGATACCATTATCAACCAAGAAGTACAAAAATAAACCTACAGACCAATTTCCTCATGAACTTAGATGCAACAATCCTCAAAAAAATACCAGCAAACTGAATCCAGCTGTACAGATAGATCTATCATCTATCTATCTATCTATCTATCTATCTATCTATCTATCTATCTATCATCTATCTATAAAATACACCATGACCAAGTAGAATTTATTCCTGGTAGACAAAGCTAGTTTAACATCAAAAATAAATCATGTAATCCACTACATCTACAGGCTAAAAGTTACCAGCAATTCTACATAAAATCAGTTGTTACTTTCAGGATTTCTCCATTACCCGTATAGGCACCAACTGGCCTTCACTGTGATGCCCCATGGTTAGGAGATTGGAGAATCAGTGCTATGAAGTTACTCTGACCTAGAGAATTTGTGTTTTCTGTATTTTTTTAAAGATTTTATTTATTTATTCATGAGAGACACAGAGAGAAAGAGAGGCAGACACAGGCAGAGGGAGAAGCTGGCTCCATGCAGGGAGCCCGACATGGGACTTGATCCCGGGTCTCCAGGATCACGCCCTGGGCTGAAGGTGGCGCTAAACCACTGAGCCACCAGGGCTGCCCTGTGTGTTCTGTATTTGTGTGCAAGTGTATATTAGTGATTTTATCTTTCTGACAGCTAATAATTTATCTATATGGCAAACTAACTTGTTAGCTTGCAAGTTAAGATGAAAATTTCATACCTTCACTATTTATGACTTAATAGCTAATGTCCACCAAAGGTACTCTTGATCAAGTGCACAAAGTAGTATGGTCTATGAATGTCAGCAAGCCTCTTTCCCCATCTACTACAGTGATCATGGTCTCAATAAATCCGTGAATAAAGTACCCATGTTAGCAGGGATAGACATTATATATGGGCAACAATACGGACCTCCCCTTACCAAGGCTGACTTAGTTAATGCTACTGCTTAGTGCCAAATTAGTCATCAAGAACAGATAGGGATAGACATTATACATGGACAACAATAGGGACTTCCCCTTACCAAGACTGACTTAGATAATTCTACTGCTAAGTGCCAAGTCAGTCATCAAGAACAGAGATTAACACCAAGTTTCGATACGGCAACATTATCTGGGAGAACTAGT